TGCACACGGAACATCGCTGCCCACAGTTCAGCTGGAAAAGATCACAAACCTGAGGGAAACACCCGTCTTGCATTCCACCCGCCCCCCACGCTGACCTTCTCCCCGCAGGCGGCCGCCAGCGCGGTCTTTGTGATGTACTGTTCGAACAGCAGGACGAGGAGGACCCAGAGGAATCGTGCTGCGCCGAGGGTGTCGACGAGCTGGACCAGGACCGGCAGGCGCCTGTGCTCTGGGACGTGTGGCAGCGCATCCACAAACACACCCATGATCTTCACCACGATCGCCTCCACGTTCCTCGTGACTTCCACAGAGTCTCCGCCATCAGACTGCAGAGTGGCAAGCAGGGTCAGGGGGGGAACAAAGAGCCCCCACACAGCAGGCTTTATGTGGGCAGGACAAGGCCTTCCTGTGTGCCCAACGCTATTAAAATGTTAATAATCAAAGGCCAATCAGGAAATATTCGATAAGGATAAATTACATCCCAGGCACTATTTGGCCCTGAGGGGAATACAAAGTATAGGATGTGAGCCCTGCCGCAAAGGAGACTCATCAGAAACAGGACCCGGGGTGAGGAGGGAACAGGGGGCACTACATGGCAGACCCCGATGCCAGGCACTGAGAGCAAGTCTGCTTTCGGACGCCCGGGAGCTGCGGAGACCAAGCAGGATTTGTGTTTGCTCGAGAAGAGTGGGTACGACTGAGAGCACAGAAAGGCCAGGAGCTCCTGCTGTTTCAGAATCAACTTCAGACCATTCTTCTCTGGTATGGGTGCTCAAAACAGAGCTGTTCGATAAATAAAAGAATGAACAAACGCCCTCTACTTCTGTCTCGGTTCTCTGCTCCCCACAAATCAACCACATGACACTCTTCACACTGTGCACCTTCCCGGCTGTGCCTCTGCTCACGCTACTGACGACGCTGCCACTTCCTGGGCAAATCCTGCACTTTCCTACCAATCACATGGTTTCTTAGGAAACTGTGGTCAGCCTGGCCCAGGTGGACTTTCCCTATTCTGGACTCTTAGCACTTACCTATTCTATTAGCAAATATAATAACAAGGCAGAGTTTTTCTTAGTATATACATATGTGTGTGTGTTCTGTTTCACTAATGTGCTGGAAACGGAGAACACCAATCTAATACCAACACTCAAAGGAGACAGTGCTGATACGGTCATCCCTGGAATGGTCAATCAGTAACATAAGATACGACCAACAACAATGGAGGTAAACAGAGAACTCAAGGAGATGACCAACCTCTTTCATCTGCGAGGCCACTTTTTAGTTCAAATGGTCCATCCTTACAGGCAGAGACTACGTCTCCCTCATCTCTGAGCACTTAGCTCTTAGAGCTTGTACATGTCTGTGGACTTGCACAGTAAGGCTGCCACTGTAGCTCTAACGCTTCCTATCTTCATCGCCCTACACAAGGGTTATTACCAAACTGATGCAATGTCCTGAAATACACAGTAAATGTAAATTCACTTTGTCAGAATAAAGTCAAGGCACTTTCGTAGCTATACCCTTGTAGAATGCATATTTATTCATATTTTGGAAAAGACATCATTTTCAAGATTACTTCTTAGCTTCATTGTCTACAATTTAAAAGGCACTAATACCTGAGCATTTTAGAAAGCCTGGTAAATGTCACTCATTTACTGCTACTTGAAGTTCATATTATACAAAATTTTAAAAACTGCAGAAAATGATACTAACACTGGTATAAAGACAGCTCACCTGAATAAGTGCCGGAATAACCATTTTCACTGTCTTGTTAATAACTTGAAAACTGTAAGTATCATCTAGACGCATGACGTTGGCTCCCATAAATGTAAAGATAGACATAATATTGTGCAGAACTTTATCCTGAAAGAAAAGACATTTTTCAACACTTTCTATTTTAAACAAATCAAATATCGATGATTCATTATACCTCAGCAGTAAGAGAAAAAATTTAGTTTTAAAATGTGCCAAGGATTTAAAAAGACATTTCTCCAAAGGTAAACAAACATCCGTACACCCATGGAGAGATGCTCAACCTCATTAGTCATTAGGGACATGCAAACCCCACAAGACACCACTTGGCACCCACTAGCCTGCCCAGGGAAGACGGAAACACCGGGATACCTGCGGAAGCCCCACGCCACGCGTACTTACAGGAAATATCCCGGCCACAGTCCCCAGAAGTAGGAGGGCGTGGTGGTGGGTCTGAGGCATCTCCGAGACGCGGATGCACTGCACGATCAACTCCACATTGAACTTCTCCTCGTCCAGAACGTCTGCGGTGGGGAGAGGTACACAAGCTGTAGGTGGCAGGCGTGGTCCTACCTGAGGTGGACAATCTCCCACCTTCCCCTCCAACGAAGCACGCACATACCTTTTGGTATTTTGCCGCCGTCTGGAGAGAGCTTTTGGCAGATGTTGAGCAAACAGCTGAGAATTAGCTGTTTGGTGTACTCCATGTTCCCCTGCTCCAGAGGCAAAGGCTCTAAGCACCTGCAGGATCCGGAAGAGGACGGGATGTGAGAGCTGAATCATGTCAGTCAGTGACACACCATGACCACTGTCCAGTACACATATTCAATAAGGAATGACTAAGACCCCAACTAGCGGTGGGGTATCTGAAGCTGGCTCGTA